GAAAACCAAGACCCCAGTGATGAGAGAAAATCCTCACCAAGAGTAAATATAACTACTATTATGCTGCAGTTGAATTTTTTTTTGGCAAAAATAATAACTTTAAACAGTAATAGTTTACAAGATCAGTATTCTCATTATTTTTTCTTCATGTTGTGTTTTATGTTAAATTCAGATTGCCTGCAACACTCCCCCCTGCTGCCCAGTGTTCAGAAGGCACTTGGAGCATCAATTATGTTTCCGGGGACCTGTTCTCCTGCCCTCTGGATGAGTCCTTGGCCCACTGCATCAGCGAAGACTGCCGCATGGGGGCAGGCATCGCTGTCATGTTCAAAAAGAAGTTTGGTGGAGTGGAGGATTTAAAGGGACAGAGTGAGTCATCCTTTTCCAGGACAATAATTATAAATTATGCAAAATTTACTCTTGTGAGTTTTTAGTCATGATGATGATACTTCATAAATCAAACAAACCTGGAGTAGTGTTTTCTTTCCTTCACACATGTTAACCCTTTACTATTAGTCTGGCTACATCTCTATTCACCTTGCGATGTCATGACAAGGTAGTTTTCAAGTTAACAGCCTCCTTAGCAAAACATGACTTTTGTTCAGTGGAGATGGGCAAATCCAGGGCTGAAATTCTAAAATTATTTTAGTGAAGATATATGGAGTTTAAAAACTCAGTGGAACACCTCTATTGCCACATGACATTACAAAGTGGAAGAGAGTACTTTCTGTTTGCGAGAAGAACTCCACCTAAGTATGCACGGTTTTGTGTGTTAACCATGTGTGAATCAAACAAAACACAACACCAAGGATGTTTTTGATGAGGAAACAACATTTAAACAAAGATCAGAAAATGGCGTATTATGGACCCTTTAATTTCTGAACTTAAAACACCTTGTTGGTTATGATGTTTATTTTAAACAGAGAAGCAGGTGGGGCAGTGTGCTGTACTGAAAAGAGGCAGTCGCTTTGTGTACTATCTGGTACGTCAGCAAAAGAAGATAAAAAAATAAATGTCCATCTTTGCCAGAGGTTCCCAAACGTTTCAGGCTGAGGCTTCCAAAATAACCATGCAACCAGCCCAAGGCATTTTTTCATTTGTAATAATTTCAGGATTGTGTTAATTGAGTACTTTATTGTGCTATTTGACCAAATTTCACTAAAATATACTGAGATAAATAAAATGGTGTAAACATTCTAAAAATGTCTTTCCAAATATCCTGTGACCCTCACCTCATTGCCTCCTGATCCCCACTTTGGAAACCACTGAGCCATAAAAAAGGACAAAACAGAAACATTCACTTATTTGTTGTATTCAGCTCAATAGCAATGAAACACTTTGAACCTTATCCTATGACATGTCTGCAGATTACAAAGAAAATATACAACCACAAACCAACATATGACAGTCTGAAACAGAGCTTAGAAGATATGAAATCTCATTGTCTTATCAATGCGGTATCCAAAGTGTCAATGCCCAGGTTGGTATTATATTTTACAGTATTACCTTTTTTTTTTTTTTTTTTCAAGCTAAACTTCATGTTAAATTATGTTCTTATAAATTATAATATATGTTTTTTTTTCTGTTGTTGACAGAATTGGCTGTGGCCTAGACAGACTAGAGTGGAAGCGCGTTTCTGAGATTCTGAAGGAGGTTTTTGAACATTCAGATATTTCAGTCACTGTCTACAGCCTCGAGGCAGTCCCAACTGCTCAGCAGACTAAGCAGCTTGCTTAGGGCCCCGAGGCCACTAGAGGGCCAAAATGATGATTGTAAAGTTTTTTGGGAACTAAATGGTGCTCAGCCTCCCGAGAAAACCTAGACCCCAGTGATTAAAGAACACTTACCAAAAAGTAAAAAAAAATAAAAAATTCAAGTAATATGTTTTATTAATGTTCTGCTATTTTAAATATGTTAAAGTGGTAATTTACAATGCAGATTGTGTTTTCTATTAAACTTTTTGTTCTGTATAGTGATGCACATTGATTAAAAATGCATTGTTTGTCCAATTGTTGAGTTTACATGTGTGGACTGAGTAAACATTAAATTGGACACTCAGTGTAGCCGCTGAATTTGTTTAGCACTGTACACTGGGTTATTGATCTGTGCACGTTGTACCTAAAAGCAGCTGGGACACAATAGCGGTACCAGATGTCACCAGTTTGACACCACAAAGTCACGCAGTGTATGGGAAAACCCCCCTTTTACTGAATGGAGGGGCGTTATGTAATCACCGCCAAGAAGCACACAGGGACAGTTACTTTTTGACTTAATAAATTGTTGCATTGCGTTAAAAATCAAGTTGTAATAGCTGTAGATGACCTATGCCCTTTGCTCCACAATTATCAATGAGCTAATTCATGAGGATTACGCATTAACGCTAGCCGCTCTTTCTTATCCGATTCAACCTGGCTCCAAGACAGAACCACCACGGCATCACTGCAACAACCAGCCTCCGCTCTCCTCCCCCTCCCTTTCACACTGCACCCTCCCTCACTGG